AGCAGAGTCTGCCTGCTGTGGTATACGACGAGAATCAATGCACAGGCGACAACAACTCTGTGTGGAAAAAGGGAACAGGCACAACTACTCTCTCAAGGGGAGAGTGCCTGTGGTGCCTCGGGCACTCCTTCAAGAGGGGAGCTCCTCCACCCTTGCCTAGACAGGCTTTTATTGTTTTCCTGGGGTCTTACATCATAGAAAGATTTATTATCTATCACATAGAATATTATTGTCTACATTCTAGGTACAATCAAGGAAATAAAAATAACATGCAAAGGGGAATGATGATGAGCTCATTAGCTCTGTCCTTGGGAGAACTCATACAGGCTTTGGAAATTACCTTGAAGATAGACAATACACATTTATTGTTTTAGACCAGGGTGGGGGAGTTTTAGCAAGAGCAAGCCATAACAATCTATATGCATTTTCTAGGCCTGATTCCCAGGGGAAAACTTGGTTTGAAGGTCTGGTTCCTACCCACCACTTCGCATCTGTAGGTTTTCCATACAGAGCTGAGTCACATTTGCCAGGCCAAGATAAACCGGTCCCCTACAATCCCCCCCCTTTTTTTATTGTTAAGGCTGTGTGGTGACAAATCCTACAAGACTTGCTGCGTGCTGGTCTCTTTTGTGACCCTGGGCAAATAATTTGTAAATGCATTGTAATATACAAAACATTATTAAAATCAGTCTCCTGCTTAGTTAAGCATTGAATGTCCTGTAACTATTGGTGTAACTCCAGTTGCAATTTATTGATTTGTCCCTCTAAATTAGTAGAAAAAGCTCCTCTTAGGTGATTTTGAATATCACTCCAGGAGTATTGGCTAGAATTCTACTATGTGGGGTGACACACAGTCTGGAGAAACCAGGATCACAGGTCAGCTGGTGACGGGTCACTAGTGTGCATCCTGGCGTTCACCGATCCAGTTGAGTGCTGATTTAACTGCAGAAAGTCAAGTCAGGATTTCTTGATCAATCTGAGCCTGTTGAAGCATTTCTAAAGTGGAGTTGGTTAAGAGAACATCAACAGTATGAGCAGTTTGAACTGATCCAATGAGGGCAGCGGTTGCCGTGGCTGCAGTAGCTGTGACAACTATACCAGAGACAATAAATGCAATTAAAGTGCCAACAAACTATTGAGCTCTTGAAGAGGCTAGTGCATTGTTAAGTGCTATTATGCCATGGGGATCTCCCCATTTTTCTGGTTACATTAACTGGCATCCATATCTGAGTTTGTCTTCTAACTGTATAAACTATAGTGAGGCTTAACTGAGTAATATTGAGATGAGTAAGACAGCTGGTGTATATGGAACCCACAGGAACAGGCAAAGAATAAATTTTTGCTGATTTGTTATAAAAAAAACTTGGGTTGTTCCTGGAATTGCCAAAAACAAGTAAGGGTGAGGGGTACAAACTGCGACCCAGTCTTGTTCTAGAGGGTCAATTTGATAAAAACATCCTTGGATACCTTTAGGGTCACATACAATTCTTATATACAGATGCATTCTAGTAATAAAAGGCAAGCCTATTTTCCATGAGTTGTAATGCCAAGGGCTAGTGTGGTTGGGAGAAACAATTCTGATTACAGGTGCCCCAGTACCGGGCCCCTCCCACCACGTATTAGTATATGGGACTTCAGGTAGAGCTGAAACTATTGTTTTGTCAAACTTTCCAGTATTTTCCAATTAGCTCCCCAGTTCTCTACTATGAAAGGACTTTTGGGGAGAAAAGCAATAGTAGCATTTGGTCCTCTGTACAAAGACCAAGAGACTGAGTCTTTGTGGCTTATGTCTAAAGTACAAGGTGGAATTGGAGAGGGATTGAGTGTAAGATAAATCCTCTCCTGGTTATGCAGGCCAATTATAGTTACTATGGAAAACTGATAGTAGTTACTGTATTGCTCTTTGCTTGCAGCATAAAGTTGCTCTTTTAAAGGAAAACACAAAGTGTCAATAAGAACAGAAAAATAAACTAGTAAGTACTTAGCAACATAAACTGCCTTTTTTGGCACCAGAATCCAGTGCTTGTTTTCTTCTAGTTGGCCAGTGTCAGCTGGGCCACCTGGTCTGCTAGCTGATCGGTTTTCATCTCCAGGTAGCAGAACTTGATGTCTGTTTTGTTATAAAGCTTCACCCTTTTAGCTGGAAGCCAAACAGGACCTGTAGGGATGGAAAAACATGCATACCCACTTCCCCATGTTAAGAAATCTACAGGACTCTGCCAAGTACAATCTTCCAGCGGATCTCTGTATAAAACTTGAGGATAAGATGACTTGGTTCTTTCTTCTGAAAATATTTCTCAGTTGGAGTACAGAGTGATTCATCACAATTTAGAAAATTATAGGTAAACATAGTTAACATAATCAAATTTTGGGGGGTAGACTCCTGACTCCCCCTTTTTTGTCTTTTAAGATTTTTAAAGGTATAATGTGCCCGTTCAACAATTTCCTGACCAGTTGAATTATAAGGTATTCCTGTTTCATGTTGGATATTTCAGTGTTGAAGGAAGGTTTGAGTAGAATGGGCAAGATATCTTGGGCCATTATCAGTTTTAATTTGCTGAGGCCGACTCAAATGACTGAAAGCTTCAAGCCAATGGGCTTGTATATTTCTAGCAGATTTTCCTGTTAAAGCAGATGCATGTAGGGCATTAGAGTAAGTATCAATAGAAATATGAATGTATTTGAATTTTCTAAAGGGAGAGTAATGAGTGACATCTGTTTGCCACATTATTTGAGAACTTAGTCTTCAAGGGTTAACTCCCATGGATGGAGATGTCTTAGAAAGAGCTTGGCAGTCAGGGCATTGTTTGATATTTTGCTTAACTTGGGAATGATAAAGAAACAAACAGTCTTTTTAACTTTTTCTATTACTTTTTCTGTTTAGCTTTGGGGGTCTGATTTTTGCCCTTTTGAAAGGGCTCCTCTTGGCTTTTAGCCTTTCACTCTCGGCTTCCTAGTTTGCAACAGGTGGGCCTTTCTTCCTATGCTACACATGGATGTGGTGTGTATCTTTTTACCCTTCTCTTTCATAACCCTTTACTTTCTTAATTCTTTTCTTTCTTTTTATTTACTTTCTAAATCTTTTTTTCTTTTCCCTAATACAATCTTCTTTTATCTTGCACAGACCATCTCAACTGACACAGACTCTCTTCAACTCTTCTAGCCTATATTAGTTTGCTCTTTTTAACTCATTGAGACATAATTAACTTAAGAATAATTCACATTTAATTCTATTTATTTTCAAGATAAAGTGCCATAATTTACACCTTTTGTTACAAAAACTATACATTTTCCTAATTTAATTAAAATTCTTTTTTTAAATATATTTTATTGATTATGCCATTACAGTTCTATTCCCCCCCTTCATTCCCCTCCACCCTGCATCCCCCTGCCCCCACCATTCCCCCCTTTAGTTCATGAACACGTGTCTCAAGTTCTTTAGATTCTTTATTTCCCATACTATTCTTGCCCTCCCCCCTATCTATTTTCTACCTACCATTATGGCATCTACCAATGCAAGCAACAAATGGTCGGAAACTTTCAGGAGTTTAAGATGGAACTTTATTGGCCAAAGTTTTACCTGCGCAGGGGCGAACTCTCGAGGTGTCCGGAGACACGGTGCCAAAATGGCTGCAAATGAGAGTCGTGCCTGGCGCTTACAGCCTAGGGTTTTTATTGGGGTGAGCAAGCAAGCAAATACAGAAGCAGATGTAGCTGTTAGCAATTGGCTATCTCGAGAGAACACACATGGCTATGTTCTCTGCTTGCAGCAATGGATACCTTTCTGCAAAGACAGGGTCATGCACAAGGCGGTTTATCTTGTTCAGCACTCTTTGTACTACTTTCTGTACTTTCTGTCTTCCTTGCTGAGACAGTCTGGAGCCTGCCTTGGGTTCCTCTTGGCTACTTTTATCTAATTCCAGGCCTAACACCATCTATGCTACTTATTTTCTGTACCTTCTCCCCCCTTCTCCTTCTCCCACTCCCCTGTTGCTAACCCTCCACGTGATTTTCATTTCTATGGTTCACTCCTGATCTAGCTATCCTCTTAATTTGCTTTTGTTTTAGGTGTGGTTAAAATTCTTAACTTCAGTGACAACTAAAGTAAGTAATTAGCATGCTTTAGATTGACAAATTTATGAAAACATTTCATAAATTTCAGAAACAGTTTTTCTCTGGTGGCAAATAAATTTCTTCTTCTTCTTTTTCTTTTTGTGAGTGCGGCATTCTTGCAGTGTGCTCAAAAGTGAGCTGTCTCATTATCTAGTGCCCTTGAAAAATTTTTTAGGGAGATTGAAGAAGAGGGAGGGAAGATATTAAGCTCAGCATAGCTTGTTCCCAGGACTGAAACTGTCCCTGGGTCTTCAGAAAGAGGAGTCAGAATGGTTAAAAGACACATTTTCTCATTTTTTTCTTTCTGAGCTTTTTACTGTCTGAGGGAAGTGAGATTTCTTCTTTCTTTAATAATCAATTTAAATTCTTTCTGAGTAGAATCTCCAGATTCTACTGGAGCCTGTAACAATATTAGAAATCTATTCTATTTATTGAAAAATTTTAAGGCTGAGATGTTACTTTTAAGACAGAAAAAAAATAAAATTCAGGCAAACCAGTATTTTCAAATTAAATCCTCTAAAGGAGGGAGTGAGGCACTAGTCTTTATCTCACATCACCTGGTCCTGTTTCTACTTCTGCCTAACTTTTCCTTAAATAAATAAGTCTAGAGGTCCCTTATCAGGGAACTATTTAGTAGCCTTTTAAACCTGGTGCTTTTTAAACCTAGTAGCTTTTTAAAACTGTTTTATGCCTTTAAGCCTAGTGGCATAAAACAGCACACAGTTATTATCTTATAGTTCTAGAGGTCAGAAGCCTGAAATGGGACTCACTGTGCCCAAATAAGGCATTGGCAAGGCTGTTTTTTTCCCCAGTGGCTCTGGAGGAGAATCTGTTTCCTTGAGTTTTCAGCTTCTAGAGGCTGTCCACATCCCTTGGTTTATGGCTACCTTCCATCTTCAAAACCAGCCATGGCAAGTTGAGTTCTTCTCACACCAAATCACTCCAACCAGTCTCTGTACTCACATCTTCTTCTCAGACTTTTCTGTTTCCCTCTTTCACTAATAAGGACCCTTTTGGTTACATTGGATATACTAAATAATTCAAGATAATTCACTACCTGAGGCCAGCTGTTTAGCAATCTTAATTTCACCAGCCATCATAATTCTCATTTCTCATATAACCTAAAATATTCACAGATTGTAGGGATTAGTACATAGACTTATTAGGGGACCATTATGCTGCCTACCACAGTGACCTCTTTAGATTAAGCAATATTTGACTTGAGGCTAAATTGATGAGTAAATGTCAGGTTGTGAAAAGAGGAAGCAGGCTAGATGGTATTCCAAGCAGAGGGAACAGCCTGTGTAGGACTTATAAAGTGAAGAAGAGCTTGGCACATCTGAGGGAAAAATACCATGCAAGTGTCCTAAGCTGGGTTAAGGATTTGGGGATTTGTGCTAAGTACAATGGAAACCTATCAAAGGCTTGTAGGCAGTAAGAAGACTTGGTCCACCTCACTCTGCTCTGTGTAGATAGATGAGGAATGCAAAAGTGGACACAGGTAACAGTTATCATCGTGTACCTGCCCTCATGGAAATACATTCCACTAAAGTTAGACAGAGATTGCCCAGATGTTCACCAAAATCCATTTCTTCTCCCTATAAGTGCAGTTAAACTACATTTCATAGCATTTTGGTGTAATATATAAGTAGGGTTTTGTGACTGACTATGGATTGTGACCAGAGATAGTGAAGAGCAAGTGTGCATTTAGAGCCATTAAAGAGAGGATATGATTTGACAAGAGCCTCAGGCTAGAGCCTGACATTCTAATATTAAGAGATCTAGTTACCAGAAGGATTCAGTGAAGGACACTGACAATGATGATGAATGAACTGTCGGAGTATCTTTCTTTAATTAAAAATATTTAATTTTAAACCAGTTATACATGTTCATGGTTTTAAAAACTCAAATTATTCTACAAGGTTCATTATGAAAAATAAGTTATCTGCCCCATTCTTCCCCATTATTGATCCCTCATCCCCAGAGGCAATTACTTTAAAAAATATCTTCTGGTATTTACTTCCAAAATGTCTTCATAGCTGTTTTACCTGCTATTTCTTGATTTTTCCTTTTTTTTTGGGGGGGGGGCGGGTATCTACAGATGTCCTTCTGCTGAAGACAAAGATTTACTCCTTATGCCTATCCATACTCATCCCTCACTCATGCTCACACATGTTTATGCACATACATACACAACAGTACTTCACTATTCTCTAATCATAATTACATCACAGTTTTTGGTTAAATCCATACATAGTGTTTTAATTACTCTGACTTTGTAGATGTTATTTAGAGCTGAGCCAGGTAGTATATTATATTTCCTTTCCTTTATAACCTCTGGTTTTCCCTGGAATTAATAATTACCTTCTTCAAAAAGTTATTTTGATTTACTTTTCTGGGTACCTATTTCTAATTCATCCTCAAACTCTCTATTAGAAGGATAAAACCTCTTATCAATACTTTCATAAGCATCAGGTGATTTATCAGTTTCTTTCTTTTTCTCAGGATCTTTTTGTACTCCTGCCCTGATCTAGGATCGTTGCTGTTGTCCTGAGATTTATTTTTACTTATATCTTCGGAAGGTCCTTCCCCTACCCTCTTGTGCTGGATCTCCTGGACCCCATGTCCTTTTTATTTCTATTTGCTGATTTACCTTAGTTTTAGGGAAATATATCCTCCATTAGATTTTCTAAGGACACTTGCATGAGAAGCCAATTGTTAAGTCCATGCATGTCTGTAAATTTTTTATTCCATTGGTTAAATATAGTGTTACAGTTTGGCAATAATTTCTCCTCAAATTTAAGACATTGCTCCATTGTTTTCTAGCTTCCGGTTTTGCTGTTGAGAAGTTTAAAGTTATTCTCAGTCCTTTAAATGTGACCTGCTTCTCTCTCTTCACACAAACCAGATTATAAAAGTTAAACCAGCCCTGGCTGATGTAGCTCAGTGAATTGAGCATGGACCTGTGAAGCAAGGGGTCACTGGTTCGATTCCCAGTCAGGGCACATGCCTGGGTTGCAGGCCAGGTCCCCAGTGGGGGACATATGGGAGGCAACCACACATTGATATTTCTCTCCCACTCTTTCTCCTTCCCTTCCCCTTTCTCAAAAAAAAAAAAAAAAGTTAAAACAAGACACAGATTAGGTTTGTGAAAGAAATAAATGCCCAGGGATGAAGGTAGAGAAAATAATTACAAATGAAAGGCTCAGATTTGAGACCCCTGCTACACATCAGACACAACCTCTCCACCAAAAGGGGACGCATAACCTGAGTGTAGTTCCCAGGTTGGTCCCAGCCTCATATCTCTTAAAGATAAAAAAATCTTATCAATGTCCTGATTTTTCATCAGTTGCTCAGCTGATTTAAGTGATAAATATGTTATTAGTAAGGTACATTACTATATGATTATATAACCCCAACAGGTTTAGAATTAAATAGAGATAGAGATATGATATGTTAAATCAAACCCATAGTACTAGATTTTTAGTATTAATCTTGCAGTGTGTTATTTGAAGCGTCTGTAATAAAAACAAATTATACTCGTTAGAGAATCTGACAGATTACTTTGTGATTTCAATTTGAATTATGCAATTTATTTTGTACCTGTGATTTTAAAGTGAAAGTAGAAGAGAATTAGGTTAAGCGTGTAAGCTGCATTGATTGTACTAAGAGAATGTGGTAAAAGTTTGACCTGTCAGGCTGCCAGGAGGTCTTTGAGAGTCTCATGACAGTCACTTCTGCTACCATGGGCTGTTACAAGGCAGGACTATTACCCCTTTACCAAAGGAACCTCAACAGGCTGAGGACATAATAATTAAAACACAGCAGAGACCAGACTGGGATATTTAAATGCAAATTGTGCTAAGGCTAGAGCAGGGGTCAGCAAACTTCTGTAAAGGACCAGACAGTAATTATTTTACTCTTTGCTATGGAATTGAGGTGTCTTATCTAAAGGATCTGTAGGAAAAGGAGAAATTCAGCGCTTTGCATGCATGTGCCTCATGATCATAAGTCTGGAAAGGACTTTGTGAGATGAGAGTGGGAGTAGAAAAGAAAGCATTCCAATAACTTTTCCCACATTCTGGCAATTGGACTTTTTTTTTATACATCACTGAATATTTTTATTTTAAACAGTAGAAGCATTGTTTGTCAGTTTAACAACAACAACCTTATGTCATTCAGTTATCCAAATTTACCTTTCAAATCAAAAGTCACCTGAGTTTTATAGCGTCTTAAATACTCTGAGGAAGAACAAACTCATTTCTGAGAAAAGTATAAAATATGAAAACAAGCTGAATATAGGCACATTATCTTAATAAATGCTAGAAATATGATCAAACAAGTTTAATTTGAAAGTAATTGAAAAGTTTTTTCAGGCTCCGCCGAGGAAAAAAATGCCAATCAGCCACAAAGGTAGGCAATATATAGAGCTTTATTGGGGTATGTGTGCTCAGGCAAAGTTCTCCGGTCCACACTGGGGAAGTTGACACGTGAGTAGAGAAAATGGCGGGATTTTTGTTATTGTTGTTGGCTCCCCGTTGGAGCTGGGGATTGGTCCCCTCTGAACAAAGTGGCAATGCAGCATTGGTGGTTTCTTCCTGGGACTCAGGTAGCTATGCAGATATCTGTTTTGGCAAAACCTGCCTTTCCAGCTCTCTGGTTTGACGTCAGCCGTCTTTTCTGGATTGTAGTCCAGGTGCCACTTTGATTGTAGTCCGGCCAATGTTTTATCCTACCCTGCCCACCCTAACAGTAATATGCTTTAAAAATTTTTTAATTTTTCACTTATAGTTTATATTCAATATTATTTTGTATTACTTTCAGGTGTACAGCACAATGACTGAAATATGAACTTCTTTTTATGGCAAGATTCAAGTGATACCTCACATGGGTCCAAATTGTATTGATTTCAAGGCAGCATGTAGACAGCACTCCAGGGACACAAGTTCAAGTTGGAAAGTAGAACAGGGATTGTTTAAGCCCAAACTGAGTCCTGAGCTGGAGAAATAGGAGCAGGGAATGAGAGCCAGATGGCCCTAGGCTCTGGTTCTACAGGCTAGTTAGCCCTTGGAATCTCAATTCCCTCTTCTGCATCAATAGCTGTAGCTTTTATGCATGCACATTTACTCTTTGATTCAGCAATCCCACTTCTGGGAATTTACCCTTAACATATACCTCCTCCAATAAAAACAATATATATAAAAGTTTATTGATTATATTATTATTTGTCATAGCAAAACATTACAAACAACCTATATGTCACATGTATTGGTTTTCTTTCTTTTTTTAATGAAGATTTTATTTATTTATTTTTAGACAGAGGGGAAGGGAGGGAGAAGGAGAGGGAGAGAAACATCAATGTGTGGTTGCTTCTCATGTACCCCATGCACATGCCCTGACTGGGGACCTGGCCCACAACCCAGGCTTGTGCCCTGACTGGGAATCGAACAGGTGACCCTTTGGTTCACAGACTGGTGCTATGTCATTTTCTGTTGTTGCATAATACATTACCACAAGCTTAAAGCAACACCCATTTATTAGCTCACAGTTCTGTGCATCAGATGTGAGCAGGGTGTGGCTGTGTTTTTTGCTCAGGATATCAGAAAGCTGAAATCCGGGTGTTGGCCAGACTTAGTTCTCATCTGGACAACTAAAAAGGATGTGTCTGCTTCTAAACTCATCCTTATTGTTGGCAGAATTTAGTTTCCTGTGGTGGCAGGATTAAGGTTGCTTTGCCTGAATGACTATCAGCCAGGGGCATCTCTCAGCTCCTAGAGGCTATCTGCATTCTTTGCCATGCAGCTCTCTGTCTTCAAACTGCGTCAAATCTTTTCTGTGATTTGATGCTCTGATTTTCCATCTGAGATCAGTTAGAGAAAACTCTCTGCTTGTAAAATTAGGTGAGGCTCA